CTATCACGGTCAACAAATTCTTTTAGTTTTCTAATAACAGAAATGGCCGATGTGATTTTCTTACAGATACTCTCAGTGTTACTTTTCCAAGAGAGATGCTGATCAACTATTACTCCTAGTGTCTTGCATTCCTTCACTTGTTTAATTGGTCTGTTTTCAATCATTATGTTTAAATTTGAATCTGAAACAGTATGCACTAGAGATCTTGATCCTATGAGCATAAATTCAGCTTTGGCAATGTTTAGACTCAGTTTGTTCGCGTTTAACCACATTCTGAGGTTTTCCAAATCAGAGTTCACTGCATTTTCAACATCATCAATTGTACCACCGGAAGCAGTGAGGTTTGTGTCATCTGCAAAAAGTCTTGGCTTTGTCCTATTTAGGCTTTCAGATAAATCATTTATATATATTAGGAAAAATAAAGGACCTAAAATGGAGCCTTGAGGAACACCACACCTAACTTTGTGTTCAGGCGAGACAACACCATTTACTTGGCATTTTTGGGTGCGATCAGTAAGATACGATCTCAGCAACAAATGTGCCTTATCCTTAATACCGTAAATTTGCATTTTCTCAAGTAGAATTTCGTGATCTACGGTGTCAAATGCTTTTTTTAGATCTATAAAAACTACTAAGTTAAACATTTTTCGATCCATGTTAACATACCAACTATTTGTTGAATCTAAAAGGGACGTAGCGGTGGAGTGAAACTTTCGAAAGCCAAATTGGTTATCAGAGAGAATTTCGTTTTTAGTTAAATAATCATACAGCTGGTCATACAGTAATCTTTCCATGATTTTGCTTATGACTGGTAGTATCGATATTGGCCTGTAATTACCAGGAATATTACGATGACCACTTTTATAAAGAGGTAAAACTCTAGCTACTTTCCAATCATCTGGAAAGCTGCAAAGAGTAATACTTTGATTAAAAATATATGTAAGTGTAGCAGAAATAACCAGTGATGCTAATTTAAGAATTTTACTGGAAATTTTGTCGATACCACATGCTTTTTTACAAGACAGCCCTCTTAAAAGATCAAAAATTTTGTTTACCGCAATTGGTGTTAATGCAGTGAACTTGGATTCAGAACTTTTAGTATACTTTTGAAAGTCACAGCTAGATTCATCCAACTTGCTTGCCAAGTTTGGTCCAACATTTGCAAAGAATTCGTTTAACCCTTCTGCAATCTCTGTAGGATTTGTTAATTTAGATTCATTAATAATTAGTTCATTTATAATCGTGGGTTTCTTACCCTTTCCGATCAAACTATTAATAGTTTTCCAAGCTTGCTTTGGATTGCACTTTTGGTTAGCAATCTTTGTAGAATAATAGTCTGTTTTGGCTTTCCTTAATTCGGTATTTGTTTGATTTCTGGCTTTTTTATAAATGAGCCAATCAGATTCTTGTTTAGTAATAATTCCTTTTCTTTTCAATTTATCTCTTTCGGTTATGAGCATTTTAATTTTGCTCGTAAACCAAGGGACACTTTTTGATTTTATCTTTTTGTTTTGAAGTGGTGCATGTTTATCCAGGACCTCTAAAAAGACTTTTTTCCACATCTCCCACATAGTATTTGGATTATCTGGAAAATAATAAATATAATCCCAGGGTTGATTTTGCAAATCCTTAAGAAAGTTTAGATCATTGAATTTCTTCATGTTTCTAATTTCAACAATATTGACATGACGTTTTACTGAAAAATTTATTTTTCTTATTGCGAAAATCATGCTATGATCACTAATTCCAGTATGTATTACCCCAGAGTCAGAAATTTTCTCTGGTCTATTTGTAATAAAATGATCAATAAGGGTGGATGTTGATGATGTTATGCGCGTAGCTTCATCAATCATTTGTGACAATTGATAAAGTTCATATATGGATTTGAGTTTTTTAGTTAATTGGTCTGGATTTGTCTTAAGCAAATCACAGTTTAAATCACCAAGAATGTGAATTTCTTTGTTTTCATCATCTATTTTTTTAATGAGACTTTCTAAATCGGTAAAAAATTCGGATGACGGATTTGGAGGTCTATAAGCTGTTACTACGACGAACGGCTGACTTTGAGGCTTAATGATTTCAATACAAACAGCTTCAAGTTTTTAGGCACTAGATCATGTCTAATCCGATAATTAATGGAGCTAGGGGCCATTCACAAAGGATGTCCGGCCAAATGATGGATTTTCAGACCCCCCCTCCCCCCTTGTCCGGCATTGTCCGAATTAGTGACCCCCTCCCCCCGGACATCCGCCATGCCTCGCAAAAACTCACGCAATCTTGTATATATCAAGAGTAAAAAACTTTTACTTTTAGAACTTTTTTATAACTGTAAATGTGAACACAAAAACATATAAATTACTAATTAAAACAAAATCTAGTGTTAACCGCATAGTCAAAATGCCAATTTCACAATGGGAAGGACTGCTCAAAATAGAGGGAAAAAGAAATTTGTTTTTGAATTTTTTTAAATTTCGGACATCCGGATTGCTAAAAACCCCCCTCCCCCCCTATGTCCGAGTTTGTCCTGATTTTCCAAACCCCCCTCCCCCCCCTCGGCTCGGACATCCTTTGTGAATGGCCCCCTACGCAAATACATGCACCCCGGAGGGGTAGCTGGCCGGGGTTAGGGTTTGCGGTTAGGTTGCGGGATTAGCAGGTGGGGTTAGGGGTCAGGGGCTAGGAGGTGGGGTTAGGGTTAGGGGTTAGGATTAGGGTTAGGATTAGGGTTTGGGTTACATGATGCGAGACTGACAGTCGCCATTTACTCGCATACTTTACCGACTATATAGTCATGTGGATATGGTCGTACCGGCTGGCGAAATCGGCCAAACTGCCGATCATGAAGTTCAGCGGTCTTGCCCATGAGCATAGAAAAAATTCAAGATGGCGGCGATTAGGAGTGAATTGCAAAATCTGTTAGGGCGAATTTTTCATCTTGTGAACTAGAAAACTGTTGTGGATTATTGCGGAAACAATCGATGGGGACTGGTCAATGTGCGAAACAAACCTTCAATGAGAAAATCACGTTCGAATTAACAGAGTGGCAAAGGCAAACTGGTCAATTTCTTTCTGTTGACATGTTAAAATACTTCTTGTATAAGATTTAATTAGGTGATATCGAATGGATTTTGCTCAGGCGACGTAAAATAAAGATAACAGCTAAAACGAAACTTTACATAGACCTACCGCTCAGTGTCAGGAGGCTTGTCTAATCTCTTAATTTACAAACTATTTCGCAGTCTACTAGTGTTGGCTTAATCAATATACAAGGATGGATAATTTGTAAGCAATTATATTGAATTTTTGAAAGCTTTCACACATTGAAAGGAATTACAGTATCATGTCTGTGCTAACACTTGAAACAGTTATAAATATTTCTGAATTATGTACTGTACATGTTAATAAAAATAACTTGAAGTATTCTATCTTCACTAGCATGTCATATTTCTAACTTTCTGGTCTTTATTTAGCATACAGTATCTCACACACACTACCAGTAATATGGCTGACATACTAAGGAGTAAGGTGATAAATTTCTCTTTTGGTACATGCAGTTAAAAGTGTTTTTAGTGACTGTATGTAACCCATTATGACTGCCTGTGTATCAGTATGTGACAGGCATTTTACTGGTATGTGTATATTATTTGAACTTCCTGCATTGGCAAAGTACTTTGATTTGTATATTAATAAATGATATGATATACACCATGTCTTTGTATCCATTGATGTTCATACTTCCACAACCAGGGTGCTTAACCGATTAAGTGGCAGAGCTTCCCCATTGACGAGTAAAATTGTCTGGCGTTAGACAAGTAAAAAATAGATGGGGCGCATTGCGGTTCAATGGGTTAACACATAAAAGAAGACAGAGAAGATAACCCATATGAATGCGTTGTTTGCATGTGCAGGAAATGTTCACATGTGATCAATTCAAAAAGACTAAAATAATACACACTGGATAAAAAAGTTTATGAATTTGTTATTCCATGGTCAAATGTTTAGTACACTACTGAACATAAGGAACAATACTGGGAACAATATTTGCCAATAGTCCTGGCAAAAATATTTATTAGACCTGACAATTTAATTGAGAACACTATTTGCAATCAAATAATAATACATTTTTAATTAGATCAACCCTCACTTGCACTTGGCAATTACTGACAGGGTTAATATTACAGTCATAGTCAATCTTAATACACATATAGTTCAGTATAGTAGGCAGGAATAAGCCAAAGTCAGTGACACATTATTTCACAATATTCTGCCATTAGTAAATAAACTTTGCCTTGCAAGACCTAGAAGAAAATGGTAAAGGTTTAGAGATTAAAAATCTTGCATCACTATAGCTGATAAACCCAATATTGTTACAGTACGGTAACTGTCTTTAAGGGTAAATTTAAATATCTGACTGATATAAGACCGAAATAACAAAGTAGCCCGATTACTACGGGTATAGCCTGTAAACACGACTGTCTTTGGGGCACATCACATATCTACTCAGTATCGCATATACAAAACAAGCGAATGACTGATGGTGACACAGGGAAACACTGCGGCTTACTGAGTTAACACAAAAGGTGGACCGACAATCCATGGATGTATTGTGGCTGTATCCTTGGTATATAAAAACATAAGCCTCACATGGGTGGTTTTCCTTGCTACTTTCAGAACTTAAATCATTAAGCACCAGCCCTCTCCCCTTGACAAGTAAAATTGTCTGCTGTTAGACAGAGTAAAATAATAAAGTAGGGCGCATCAGGGCGCAGTGCGACTCAATGGGTTAACTCGACACATAGACA